CCCTGTACAATGCCACTTTGCGCCAATTCAAAACTGTAAATCTAAACAATCATTTAAGGGCACAGTAATTTTCAAGAAAATGGGAGAAGAAAAATAATTCTCAGCGTGCAATTGAAAAGCCTTTCCAGTCTACTGCGTTCCTTAAATGTACCCCAAAATCCGACTGTTGTGAGAATGCACAGGTCACATCACGCACACATATTTCACTGCGCATTAAACTGTCACTATCCAAACTTAGAGTGAAAGAGAACTTTATTGACATAACAAAAGTACAGCGACTTTCGTAAGGTCTTAAACTACATGTAGACATACAGACAAATTGTAGGTACAACGAAATTAACCTACATACAAGACAATACATAAATCAACTTGTACTACTTGCTCTAATGTCTAAACATTCTTTGATATATTTACCTATGTGTACACAATACTTAAGGGCTATTACCTTCTAGAATGAGTGATACAACTATACGTATTCCACAGTGGGCACTTGTAGCCTCCACCAGGCCTTTCTATGGGGATACGGATCGTAGAATTCGGCAAAAAAGAGAGTAGAATTGGCCAAGGGAGTCCGGCCGCGGGAAGGAAGTTTCTTTTTCTCCGAAGCGCGGCCAGTCAAACCTACAAGTCGGCCAAACTCCCCCGGTAAATATTCTCCTATATATAGCCAGTGTAGTTAGTCTGTTAGAGACTAGGCACTTTGCATTTTGGCATCTACTCTAGCGAGCATCCGAAACATTATTTACAGTCTATGGAGTTTGAAAAAGGTAACAGTATTTTCGCTTGTATGGGAATGTACGGGTCAGGACACTTGTCTTTCCACTCCAGTTCACCTGTTAAGTGTAGCTGTATCTGGTGCGAGAAGAGGTCGGATTAAGACTACACTGGCAGGCATTCTTTTCAGGGGTAGGGCATGGCACTGTTTGTTTACAATGGACGCATCACATTTCAATCACTACCTTAAGAACATACAATCCTCTATATACAGTATACAAGACTAGCCTGGCCGGCCGAAATTGATTATCAGTGATAGGTACACATTATACGTGTTTACATATTCTGTATTGTCTTTGCCAGAAGGGTTAGTGGGGTTAGCCAGTGGCTAGTTGGACAGCTGTTGCTCTGCGCCTTTCACAGCTAAACCGATAAATAAAAAGATAGGGTAGATATAGCCTCTACCAGGCTTCGGGAGGCGGTAGAAAGAGTAGAAATTGGCCAAATAGAGAGCCTAGTCATAACATACCAGAGGAGTTGGTCCGATAGAGAGTACAGTTTGGGTACGGCAAACTGTACTCTCTAGCGGACCAACTTCCCTGGCATGTTATCTCAGTCTCTATTTGGCCAATTTCTACTCTTTCTACCGCCTCCCGAAGCCTGGTAGAGGCTAGGGTGGAGACACATGTGTATCACCCCCACAAGTTTCCGTCCCTGATTATATGTTATCTGGAAAAGACATGTAATTTCCCGTGGACTACAATAGGGCCTTTTCAGCCAGCAGGGTAGGTAGTCATTTCAGCTTTAAAGGTTACAATTAAGCATGGGTGGGGATGTATCTTTATCCTGATATTGTGTGAAAAAAAGACAACATTAGGGACACTCCTTAGCACTCTATGAGGGTAATACACTACACACTGCTTAGGTGTATGATTACTGAGTGATAAACTTTGTGTAAAAGGGAAACGTGTATGGCCAGTCTTTAAATTCCACACCGTGTATTTTGGGAGGGTGCCAACTTACACTCACTTTTCCTGCTCTGGTGACTGATGGTATCTCTAACAACAGTCATTTTGTTTACGAGTTTAGACTAGTAGGTCTAGATTTGAGCCATTTAAAGCATAAATGACTCAAAGCTAGACCCCAGAACAGTTCTTTTACCTGTTCTTAAAATATTGAATGTAGGTCTAGCTTTGAGCCATTTAAAACATAAATGACTCAAAGCTAGACCCCAGAACAGTTCTTTTACCTGTTCTTAAAATATTAAATGTAGGTCTAGCTTTGAGCCATTTAAAACATAAATGACTCAAAGCTAGACCCCAGAGCAATTCTTTTTTGCCAGTATAGGTCTAGCTTTGAGCCATTTAAAGCATACTAGTAAATGACTCAAAGCTAGACCCCAGAATAATTCTTTTTTGCCAGTATAGGTCTAGCTTTGAGCCATTTAAAGCATAAATGACTCAAAGCTAGACCCCCAAGCAGTCGTACGTCCTATTACCATTTTCACATTTTGAAATTTGACCAGTGTTAAACGTTAGAAGGAGTTGTGGTATATTCAGTATACTAGTACGTGACCATCTTTCCTAGCACATAATATCTGCTTGAACATTTATACAGTGCATTATCATTCAGAGCGTGTCTCCCCAAGGGACGCCCCACCGGCCCACCTGACACTACCTGTTCTACACAATGGGCGGAGTGTCAGCAAGTAGTTGTCTAAAACTGCCATTTAAAACAATGAAAAACCCGTTTTGGTCGTAAATACGTAGCCTCTACCAGGTTTCGGGAAGCGGCTGAACAGAGTTTGAAAAATTGGCCAAATACAGAGATAACATGCCGAGGGAGTTGGTGCACTATATATATATACTAGTAGCTATATATACTAGAAGAGTACAATTTGGCGAAATATAGTCTCTCTATTTGGCCAATTTCTACTCCTTCCAGACGCCTCCCGTAGCCTGGTAGAGGCTAGTGAACACGGAGAGGTCCTAAGAAAAGTAATGTTACCCACAATGTGTTTCGAAGGGGAATTCGTACGCGATTACCTCCCAATTCATTAGAAAATGGGAAGTCTTCCTATGAATAATTTAAGAGAGAAATATGGTCTGTCTACTCACGATATCACGCTACTGATCTATCTATTGTACATGCGGTCTCCAGGTCGGTAAGAAAAGAATGTTCATTTCACCAAATAAACAGTGGCACTATGTGGTTTAATCCTATTCTGTAACATACCCTTTTACAAGCAGATGTAGGATGGTGCTTTTTCATGTACAAAACGAGGCAAATGGTCCAATTGGTACAGTAAAAAGGAACAAGAAAGACTTGAAATACGTACGGAAGTCTAAACGCTACAAAAGGCTACAGAAATAAACTAACGTCACACACGTGTTTGAAGGCTGTTAATGTCATAATGTCCCAATCAGGACGTAAGAGTTGACATGTGAAGGCCAAATATGACGTTTTCTTTTTATTCAGGGCAAGGCTAGGGGCTACATAATATCATCGAGGTTTACACATTTTGCACCCCTATTACTAATGTGCCATGCTTATGTGCATTTTCTATGCGTTACAGATATTAGTCTGTACCAGTAACCGTTGAAGCTAGGGCTATTATTGCCGGTTTAAGTTGGTATTTTTGTCTGTTGGGTGTTTATAATGTTATGCATGCGTCAGTGCAGGGCCACAATGGCCGGGTCCTCCCGTTGGTATGACAGACACCCCCGGGCGCTTTTCCGTTGAGATTTAATCGTCGACGACAAACAGTAGGTAGTGCGAACGAGGTGTGACCAACAGGTTCGGTATTTTTTAAATGCAAGGTTGGAGGACGTTATAAATCGCCAAGCTGGAGGCCATACGGCAAAAGTTCCGCTCCTTTGCGAGGCTGGTGTCTCGGGAGTCCACCGAGGATTCAACCGACGCTCCCGGGAGCCCTAGCGAGCAGCCACCGACTGAAAACCCAGACGTTTTCGAGGCCACGGAAGACAAGCAACTTTACGATCTCGGCCTGGAAGAAAGCTGGGTCATCTTCGACTCACACCGAGAGGAAAAGAAACACAAGAAGAATGAATCCGAGAGTAGCGACGCCAGTTTTGAATCGGCCACGAACCTACCGGACGTGCTAGAACCTGTCGTTAAGGTGGGTAACGATCAGCATAATGAGACAACTGTAGACATTCCCTTACAGACTATTACACCAAAGCAGCGTGCTGTGTCTTCAAACGAGAACAACATAATTCAAGGTAAAGAAATGGCCATAGAACAAGACGAGCCCCCTACTTCCGATAATGTGATCGAAACAAGTGTTTATTCAGCCGATGTGGCGACTGGAAGTCAAGAAGAGGTGTCGGGGTCGCAAGCCGTGAAGACGGATGTTTACAACGTAGTAGACCATGAAATACCTGAGCCACAGCAAAACGGCGGCCATTTTGATTCGTCTAGGTCAGATGAGTCGTTACTGTACGTGGGCGATGCGGGGTTGAAAACTAACGCTTCTTCTGACAAAGCAGAACTGGAACCACCTGTAAATTCAGAAATGGACGACAGCGAACCATCCCCTGAGTTGGAACCACCGAACGAATTGTCTACACAACAACAACAACAACAACAACAACAACAAAAAGAGGATTCGCCAATGGACAAAGAAGCAACCGGTGCCGTACAGACAATGGACGAGCACGATGGAGTAAAAAATGGACCATCACCATTCGTTCCACCGGTTCAGGAACGACCACAGCCTGTGTATGAGAGAAAAGTGTACGATCGGAGCAGAGCGTCGTTCCCACCACCTCCCCCAGACTACGAGACGGCCATTACAAGGTGCGTAAGGTTAGATCCCAACCCCGCAGGGTTTGTTTTAATGCCGAGGTTACCTGTGGGGTATAGTCCGGTGGGGCCAGGGCAGGGGTACCCGGGGGACTTCTCCCAACATGGCGGCGTCCATCCACCACATCCAAGTAACGGCTTCGCGCCACACGACGGGCATTTTCAGCAGGAATCAGGGCATGACTTAATGCAAGACGCCCCGTTTGAACAGGAGTTATACCGCCATGAGCCCGGATTTGAACAGTTTAGCTCCTTGCCTCCTTACTCTCACGAACCAGGCTCAGAAGAAGTAGGTTACCCCTCACACGAAGACCGACATTTTGACAACTTTCACAGTAGACAGCCCTCATTACGGTAGTGCAGAGAACATACTAGACATGCATGATCCGCCCGTCCCTCTGTCAGAGATGTCCCCTCAGCTATCCAACTCTGCAATGGACATTACAGAACACGGTCGCAATGCCAGGTCTACGGATAGAAAGTCCGCATTAGCAGGGTTCCTAAACCGCAGAAAGAACTTGTCAGGGTCTTGGGGTTCCCGCGCCAGGCAGCCTAGACAGTCGGCCAGCAGCGTGTTTGCTGGTTCAGCCGAATCCTTACCCGACCCACAAGAAGACACGTCACTAAGAACAATGTCCCTAGATCGATTGAACAGACAGAAACCGACATCTAAGAGAACCTACGGTATAAGGTCGTCCTCGCTTGATAGAATGCTAGATGAGGATGGAAACGATTTAGGTGACACAGATGAGGCAGCACAAGAAGAGGAGACACCACTCAGGACCGCATCACTTGATAGACTAGATAGGCAAAGAACACCACAGTCTAGAAGAACGTATGGTTTCAAGTCAACATCACTTCAGCAGCCTTCAGATAACGATCCAGGTAGCTTTGATGAAAACGGCGAACAAATCCCCGAGGAAAACAATGCAGATAAAACTCCACAGAGAACTGGTGGTTCACTAGATCGACTAAACAGGCAGGGGTCAGCGTACGACAGAGCGAACAGAGTCAAGGCAGCGTCTCTGGAAGAATTTAGACAGAGTCTGAGGTCGCTGACTTTGAAGAAACCAACTGGTAGAGAAGAGGATCAGCAACAAGAACAGGAGCATGCAGAGCATCATGAAGAAAGGCAGGTAACAACATCGGAACCGACGCAGAAAACACCTGTTAGGAAAAACCTGACGCCATTTATCAAGTTCTCACCTGCGTTCCTCGAACAGGAACGTAGCAAACAGGTGATGCCACCGAGCCCAACTCCCGCTATGACAGTAACGGACGGACAACAGAGCAGACTGGACGATGCACGACAGAGGGCAAACCAACTTGAAGAACTCCTGAAGTCGAAACGACAGAAGATGGAAGAAGCAAAGAAACAGGTGCGCAAGATTCATCGAAATCTCGAAGACGAACTGACAAAGCAAGAGCAAACAGTCACAAATGGGAGTAGCCGTGAGGATGAATCAGTTGTGATTGATTTCTCAAAGTCTAAAGGTGGAGACAAGAGTAGCAAACCGTTGGAGGAAACCACAAGAGAAAACGGCTGGTCTACGGCAGAGTTTGGGCGTGATTCTGCCTCAAAGACATCAAATCATGAAGAAACAGAAAACAAGAAAGGAGCGAGCGATGATCAGTCCACAAAAGTAGGTAGCGAAGAAGAGGAAACGTTTAATGACGCCAAGAAACTTCTATTGAGGACGGAAGGAAGCCATCGGGACCAGCCAATTGCTCCCAGCTTCATCTCTTTCGAAGGAGGAGACGATGGCGTCGATGGCCCCGTCACTCCTCCCCCTTTATCCAGGAACGACCCCCTCCCTGAGCTTCTGGCTCCCCCAAACGACTTCAACCCAGGCAACCCCTTTGATCTCTTCCTGGACTCCCTCGGTCTGCCAGTGATGCAGGAGGAGTGGATAGAGGAAAGGCGTCCTTCTCTCAGCACCATCTACGAGGAGGACGAACCGTTGAGTGACTCGACTGCTAACAGCAGCGTCATCGACCTAACGGTGGAGGAGGGCTCAATCGTAGGAGAAGATTCAAAGGATGAAAGAGGGGTGGAGGAAGAAGATAGAGATGAGAAGAAAGCACTGAATGCGCAGGAGGCGGAAGTAAAGCAAAAGGTTGAGGATAGTCATATCGAGGAAAGGCTTGAAAGTGATGAGAAAGAGAAGTTGGAGGATGATATGAGGAAAGAGGATGCCGGTTTGGAAGATGTGAAACAAGTTACCGAGACAGAGGGGAAAGTGGAAGAAGTTCATCCAAAAGAAGAGGACATAGTTGAAGAAAAAGAAGAGAAATTGGAGGAAGAGACAGGGGTAGAAAAAGTAAATGTATGGCCCGAGCCACAAGACATGACAGGAAGCACACAGAAAGCTCAAGAAGACGTTTCTGACAAGGACAAAAAGATGGAGGAAACTAAAACTGATGTCACAGATGGGGAACAGGATTCGGCAATGAAAGAAACTGTCAATAACATTACAGATCACGAGAACGATAGCCTAAATCACGTTGAAGAGAAAGACGAAGGAAACGACGAAATCACGCCGTTGGCAGTGAAGGATGACATCCCTGAAAAAGTCAAAGAGTTGAACAATGCCATTGAAGAGAAAGATGGGGTTAAAGACAAGACAAAGGAAGAGTCAGAGGATACAAAGGTAGGAGGACTAGATGTGCAGAAGACATCAGAAGTCACAGAAGAGAAAGCATTATCTTCCAACAATATGGCAGAGGAGAAAAGGCCACAGCTGATTGAGAAAGAAACCCACGCTGAAGAGAACAAAGAAATCGTTGGAGAGGAAGCCAAGAAAGAGGTGGCAAATACGCATAAGGAAGATATAAAAGAGGAGGATACAGATGCAACAGAGACGACTGTTAAGAGCCATGATGATGTGGGGCAGCAAAGCAAAGAAACGTCTGAAAACGAAGACAAACAGAAGGTAGAAGAAATCCCCAAGGTACAGGAAGACACTTCGTCCATCCACACAGAAGAGATATCAAAAGAAAAGACCAATAGTGTCTTTGAGAAGACCCAAGATTCCAGCATCCAAAAAGAAAATGATGACATCGCCAATAAGTCAGAGGCTGTGGTGAAGGAAAATCCCAAGAAAATGCCTGTTGTTGAAATCACGGTGAACCTAAAAGCCAGCGAGATCGGCCCAGATCTGCTAAATGAGCTGGTGGCAGCTAAGTCACCTACCAGTGTCGCCCCACCTCCACCAAATGTGTCCAAAAGCCCCAAAGTCAGCAAAAAGACGTACAAAGACAAGACCAAGGCGACGACAATAAGCTCAAAGGAAAAGGACAAGTCGAAAAAGAACAAGAACTTCATGGAAGAGATCAACGCCTTGCTGGAACAGACCGAGTCCACCATGGTGAGAAGGAGCACAGAGATCACAAGTGTCTCTGAGGATCTACAGAATACTGCCAAGACACTCTTTAACTTGGAAGTAGAAGAAACAGTGTTTACTACAAGCCCGAACACAACTGGCAGCTCGCATGATCTAAGCGGCAGCGTATCATCTCTAGACTCGACAACTGAAGACGACAAAGGCCAGACTTCCGTGACGAGTCCGGAACGGCATCCTGTCAAAGGTCCGGAACTCCAGTCGTCCGTCACAACTCCGGAACGTCAAAGTGATTCCGGAAACGGATCTCTCAACGACAGTCCGTTTTCCGTTAGAACAGAGACTCTTGACAAGTCTCCGTCTCCTGTCGAGCCTCTAGAGGAAGATATAAAGAAGACAAAGCAGGAGGCTGAAGAGGAGCAGAAAAAACAAGAACCTGCTAAGGAACAAATTGAAGAAGCCATGGAAACAGAAAAAGAAGCGACTGATGTATCCGAGAAGGATAATAGTGAAGATAGAGTGAGTAAATCGTCTGCAATGGAATTTTTGCACCAGAAGAAAGACACAGAAAAAGAAACAAGCATCGAATCCCAAGACACCAACCATAATGACACAGAGCAAAACGATTCTGACACAGCGAAAAAGTCAAACAAGCCTTCCGAGAGAGAAGAAAGTCCAAGTCAGAAATTGGACACTGACAAAGACATAACTATAACGTCTAAGCAGGTCAATCTTCAAGACAACCTGAAACAGGACGAACCGGAAACGAAGAGCGATGAAAGCAAGTCATCTCTAGAAAAGGAAAATCCAACTCAGAAACTAGAAACAGACGACGATATAACCACGAAATCAGAGGAAAGCAACCTTGAACAAGATAGAATTCAAGAAGAGCCTGAAATGATGAGAAATGAAACCAGGCCACCTTCAGAGTTGAAAACAAAGCCAGAAATAACGAAAGAGGCAGAGAAGTCAGCCTATGATTCACCCAAACCATCAGAAAAGCACGTCGTTGAACATCACTCCATTCCAAACGGGAAGGTTTCCTCAGAAAGTACAGAACAAGAGAGAAGGCACACGAGCACAAGCCGCGTTGAGATGAACGTCATTCTTGTGCAGGACAAGGAAGCAAAAGCAGTCTCCGAGGAAACCACCACCGACAAAAACGAGCGAGAGAGGCGAGAGCCTGATATAATCAGCGATATGCCTAAAGTAGCACGTTCTGTGGAGCTGTTCGAATCGTTGCTGAAGTCAGACAACCACAATAAAAAAGACAGAGTAACAATGGCTCCCATCCCCTCAAATATACCAGTAAGAGATGAAGAAGTAGACGCCACTACTAAAGATGAAGTACAGCTAGAAGCAAAGACGGAACAGAAACAAACAACAGTCGAACCTGAGTCTCAGAAAGACGACAAGCAAGAAATCTCCAATACCCAACTTCCAGTCCCAGTCGACGAAGAAGGGGAGGTCATAGAAGGCATCTACACAGCCAGCCTCGTGTATGTTGGCGGCAGCAGCTTTGAAGAGAGTGGGGGCCTCTCTCCTAGAAATCTCCAAACCAGCGAGTCCTTTGCTGAAGACGACAATATTCCAGTGTTCTCTCCAACGGATAAAAGCACTCCCGCCAGAGACGGCATCTTTAAAGCCCAGCTGGTCCAAGTGAACAGCTTAAGCTTTGAGGAGGACCCGGAAGAATCCATCGGCTCTGAAGACTCCAGCAATGCGAGCGTCACGTCTTCTTCACCGTCTTACGAGCTGGTTCGAGACGAGAAGGGATGGAAGGGCAAGCCGAGGCACAGCACACCGACAGGCCAGGAGGACTCCACCTCCCCCGGGCCGGAGGACAGCAGCCTGCGCAGAGGCAGAAGCATGCGGCGGCGCAGCCAGAGGAAAAGCTTCGAGGGGAGTCTCTGGGACGACGAGGACTTTAAACACAAGGTTAGTAGTACCTCCTACTTTGACAAACACTCTAGAAAGCCTTGTAGATGGAAGAATCTCTTGGCCAAGTTTTCACACTCCTTAGCCCTAGGCCCCATTTTCACAGGAACCAAGACCTAGAAAGCTAGTCTCCACCAGACTCATTTGCAGGCTGAATAAATAAATAGCAGAAGAATGTAGCTGGCCAGGGGAGTTGGCCGACCATAGATGGTCCAGCTTGCCAGGCAATAGGCACTTCTTTTAGGCCAATTTCTACTATCTATTCATCCTGCAAAGGAGTCTGGAGGATACTACTGGAAAGCCTTATAGATAGAGAAATCTTTGGGGAAAGGTTTCACACACTCTTTAGGCCCCATTTCCACAGGACTGACACTGTTAGTCAAAAGTAGGATTTAAAAAGAATACAAAACACACCGAAAGACATGTAAAATTGATCTTTGTATTAAAAGAAATGAGTGACCTGTCAAATGTTTAGTCGCTCATGGACCACAGGCTCTGGTGGAAAGGGAGTGTAACCTCCTAACAGACAGTTCACTGTAGCCTTTAACACATAAAAACGCAGGTTCATTGCCTATTCCCAGCCTTATCTTACCCTGGCTTCATATAATGGCCGCAAACCCAGGCATGATTTGCTTGTGGCTGATGAGCTCCTAACGTTTATACTTCACTATGCAGGTCCATACTTCTCATTGTGTATCTTATTCATTTATTTATTTCAAATGCAAACAACACAGAATTACAAGCAGCAAGGGCTGATAAACGTAAATCTACATAAAGGATAAGTACGTTACATGTATACACAACTACACCATACGGGACATCAGATAACAATACATATATACAAATTCAAAATTACACCAGCTGAACAGTTTTGTGTATATCTTAGGTTCTTTATATTGTTTTTGACATGGACGTTGCTCTGTTTCGACTGTACAGTGAAGACCGATTCTTTTAGTTGTACATGTTCTGTTTGGCACCAAATGCACCAAGACATTATGTACACGAAAAGCACTTGATGCACAAAAACGTTTTAACAAATCTGATTTGGAGAAGGGGGTTGGAACACCTCGTGCACAAAACAAAACATTCCACAGATAGACAAAAAAAGAAGCACTAAATGAAACAAAAAGCTTCTAACCAAAGTTCTAAGGGAAGCACAAACTAACACGATCTAACCTCTTCGCACCAGCCGGCGCTCCTCAGACAAGACAGTCCGCCACATAAGCAAGAACCGATCAGGTCGCCTGAAGTAGACAGCAGCAAACCGTCCCAGAAAACTACAACCAGCCCGAAGTTACAAAGTATCAAAGACTTCTTCCGACGTGGGAAGAAGAGGAGCTCTTCCGCTCACAAAGCGACGACGAAAAACACACCTGGTTCTGAAGACGATAAACTCGACTCCCTACCGTCAAGCATCCTCGTAGAGCGGGCGTCACAAAGCGACGGAGAAGACGAGCCAAAAGGAGGACTGAATCTGTTCTACAGGACGTCGAAGACGAAATGTAAGAAACAGAAAGGGTCTTCTAGCGCAGGAGGTGGCAAGCTGGGGTGTGGAGAACTATCGCCTGGTGTAGAAGGATTACGGAGAAATAGCTGGTGTGCCGGACAGGGGCGTTTTGCTAACATTACCAGGGGAAACTCAGCAATAGTATCGCTCGCTTCCAACAAGGGTGCAATAGAAGCTCGGCTTCGCCGCAGTCTACCAAGGAACTGGACCGCAAGGAAATCGAAAAGACAGCGAGTAGCCGGAAAGAATAGCCTTAGTTGTACCTCACTGCCTGCTTTCGTAGATGGTTCACCGCAAAAAGTTTCCAACAGTGCTTCACCAAGCTCGCAGTTCTCACCAACAGGGGAGGATGGTAGTGGCAGTCAGTCACTGATTTTCGAATCAGCCATATGAGAACTTTTGATGAAGTTCGTCTTTAGTCGTGTGATGGTGGCTTAGATATAAATGGATGATGGCTTGCACTTGGTAACACTCCATGGTGTCGGTACTAACGCGAGAGTTTCAGCCTCTACCAGGCTTTTGGAGGCGGCTGGAAAGAGTAGACACCGGCCAAAATAGAGAGATAGCATGCCAAGGAAGTTGGTCTGCTGGAGAGAACAGTTTGCCGCTCCCGAAGCCTTTGCGGAGTCGCTACGATCAAACTGTATAAAAGCGGCAAACTGTACTCTCCAGCAGACAAACTTCTCGGCATGCTATCTCTCTATTTGGCCGATTTCTACTCTTTCCAACTGCCTCCCGACGTCTGGTAGAGGCTACGAGCTCAAGAGTTTGTGGTGTTGGGCTTTGGGTTTTGGGAATGAGCTAGCAGAATAACTCCATGTGCTCACGTGTAACATCACCAGGGGTGCCAGAGTATACAGTGCAATTTTACGGAATACAGTGCAATCGTATTAGTATACAGTGCAATCGTATTAGTATACAGTTACTAGTAAAATTGCACTGTATTCCGTAAAATTGCGCTGTATTCCGTAAAATTTCGCTGCATTCCGGAAAATTGCGCTGTATACTCTGGTACCCTGGCACCCCTGATCACGCTTGTATATAACGCGCCGTTTTCCCTGTAATTCCTTCCAGTGTAGCCAGAGCCCACCAAGAGGCCGAAACTACATGTACCTGCGACAGACACCAGCGTCTCCTAATGCATGACCGAGTACCATCTTCACCACTAGTACTAGTACTACCATACACAGCGTTAAGCGCATCCTATGCAATTTCAGGGCGGACCCAAAAAATCGTGGATGAAGATTTCTGTCTGCTATTCATACATTTACTCCCCTTTCTTAGCACATTTTCGGCATCATTCCATACTTAACTGTTTGAAATAAACTAAAACAAGCTTCGTAATTTTATGGGTACCAGCCATAAATAGCTAGAACCTGCCTGTGATACAAAACAAGCAACCATTTTCTGTCAGCGACATCAACTTTTTCCCTCACAGTTATCAATACGCTATGGGATAGAATTGATTCAACCAAGGACCTTATTCTGTATATATCCTTGATCTATCTTACTACATTAAAAGAATGGCCAGAACGTTGACTTTGAAAATCCATTTTTGCCGCCCTGAAGTTGCATAGGATGCCTTTAAGCTGTGTTCACCTTTCACGGTCATAATTCATTACAACTCACACACTACGTCTAGCTGATACATAGTATCATGTTGTTTGTTGACGTGACATTTAACACTACATTATTTGACGTTTGTTTTTAACTTTTTTGTAGACTAAAACGACTGAGGTATTGTACATAGACGGATACTCAGGTTATTTTTCATGTTTTCAGGAAAGTTTTTGAGCTACCCCATTGGTCCTTGAGGTCTAACTTGTACCATCGAAATTCTAGATGTGACAGCCACGTGCTCTAGAGGGGCAACGCCATTGGCTGAGGACATCTTATCCATTCGATTGGCGCTAACTATTAACATTTCAGTCTGTCATTAACTCGTTCAATAGAACTTAGGAGACTTATCAGTCATGCCACCTAGCGGAAAATCTAGTACTGTATTCGTAATCGTTATAGTTACTCCACCTATCTGATTGTTTTATACTGCATTTCAAATACTATAAAATATGTAACCTGTATCATATAAGAAAACTTTCACGCCATACTTTCTATTAGATAAGCTAATTCTTTTTTTAAAAGTTCAGAACCTAAATGATGATTCGTACAGTCTTGCAAGATTACTGAGCAATTTTTTTTGTAGCAAGGCTATGAAAAGTATGTGAAAGTAGTACTGTATTTTTAACACAATGTAAAGCATAAGGTGACTTTGTTACCATTTGTGATGCCCCAAAGCTCTATTTTTTTTGTCTTTTTTTCTGTGTGACCTTTGACCTGTGAGATAGGTTGTTTATTCTATTCTGGAGCTAAACCCTTTTCGCCTGGAGCAAAATTCAGTACTCGCGTGTCTGTTAGCAAGCCACGCCTACAAAAACCAGTCTAACGGCATCATTTGTGCCGCGAAATTAGCTTTTCTGTTGTTGAAAGGTCACCATGTAATTATCTTTATATCTGAACACTGGTCCCGCAGGTCAGAGGTCATAGGTCATAACGTTCTTTGTTTACTTTTTGTTAGATCGATGAATTTCATACACTAGCCAGTGTATGTAATTGTAAGAAAGCGTTTGGGCTTTATCTATGGATATCACCTCTTATAGTTGTCTGGATAGCAGCATTTGACAACAAGATCAGCCATTTTGTGAAATGCTTTTTCATAGAATCTTCAGAAAATATTATTGTAGCTTTCAATTCCATCAACATTCTTTGCCATTTTGTAAGTTTCTTTATGTGACATTAAGAAAAATTATTCGAAAATGTTCTAGTTTATCTGAAAACGTCACTTTTACATCAATATTGTCAACAGATTGCCTATATATCGTGAAATGGCTATAGCTGAAGCTTATAAGTTGATAAAAAGAGTTTTACAGAACGATAGCTTTATCTAGGCATATATTGTAATGGGTGGGGTAATTGCAATTTTAGTGCTTCGTTTTTGGTCAGTAATATCTACAACTGTTTTGGTATGCATACATACATGTACATGTAACGACCAGAGATCTGTACGTAACTGTATTTTGTATATCTACTGTTGCTATAAGCCATACATATGATTGTAGAGATTGTATAATTCTTCCTTCAAGTTGTAAATACAAATATCTTTTTGACTCTCAGTTAAGTGTCTTTTATCATACTATTGTAATTGTGTACGTGTGTGTGTGTGTGTGTGTGTGTTTGTGTGTCCATGTGTGTGTGTACGTGTGTGTGTGTGTTCTGTAAATGTATGCGTAATCGTGTTTGGCAGTGTGCATGTTGACATATGTATGCTAGTGACGCCATATTTACTTTAGAATGGCGGTTACAGATCTAGATGACCCCCAGAAAGGTCATGTGGAATCCAACATGGCCGCCGATGCTTACATGTGACGTGACGTGTGCCACCGAACTGGAAAGGGTCACAAGGTCACAGTAAATTACTGTAAATTGAACAAAAGCTTTCTTGTCTGTTTGTTTTGGATTAAAATCTCAGTTGTTTCAAATCTTAGAGCATCGTTCGGCTACCCTAGCCACAAAAATGCACAACTGATGCTGTTAAAAGCCTGATATATAACAATTA